TGCAAGAGCGTAACAGATGCAAACCAAACCCAAACAGGACCTGAATGCACACAGGTACAACTTTGAACGAGGCACAGTTAGAGCATTGCACCCTTTAGCTGCACGCATGAGCATTTAATGGGCAACCTCCCTAGCGTGGGCTAGCACTGCTTGCTTTGGGCTAGCGAGCAAGCTGTTCCTATAGATCCAAACCACGTTCCCTGACCCAGCACGCTCCCACATCCCTCCCCACCACTGCACTGAGGAGAGCTCCACTCTGCCTCCAACCTGCTAGCAAAACAGCACCCAGTAGCGGTGTCCCCATCCCATTTTTTACCCGAATGGATAGTGCCTGCTTCCAAAAGCAGCGCCGAGCCATATGGCAGAGCAGTCGCGCGCTAGGAGAGCTGGAAGGGCTCCCATGAACTTTGTTATTTATTGGCAGGAAAATCACTATTAGGAAGCGTGTAGCTTGTCGGGCACTACATCTCTCTGTGTCTTCTCTTTCCTGCACATCCTTAGCCTAGACGTGGCTGGACAGGATCACTGTGACCTAGGAAATCGTGTCTGATTTAATTCCAGGATAGTCTCATAGAAGGTGGCGACTTGAGCCACCTTTTCCAGCCCATCGCTGCTGGTGAAAGCAGCAATCCTGATGTCAGAACTACCCAGGACGAGACTTGATGTAACAGGACACTCAAAGGAGACTGCAACAGATGGCCTAGAGAATTAAAATGTTTTCCTCATTTAGTAGAAGCTAAATTACTGAAGGCTAATGAATAAGGATGTTTGCCACCTTACTGTTCCTGTATTTTAATTATCTTAAAAAGCATGGGAAAAGAGAACCTTTAATTTTCCATCTAAGAGTGTCATTACTCAAACAATTCAGAGGCTTTTTTTTTTTTTTTTTTTTTTTTTCTGAGAGGTTTAAGCTGTCTTAGATCTCTAGTGCGTTCTTTGGGGCTGGCTCATGAATAAAACAGAGCCCATAATTGCAGTGACGCAGCCAAAACACATATAATCAACGCTCATTAACCCATCAATTAACACACTAAAATTAAACAAGAATTCAGGATTAGTAATCTGCTATCAGTCAAGAAAAAAAAAGAGTTTCGATATCACGTTCAAGTGATAACTCCCCTTCACATCTGTTGAACCCTACCAGAGAGCACAAAAAGCCTCATATCCGGCTTAATCCCCATGCTTGGTCTCAGCACTGGAGCTAAAAATGAGCATGAGCCTCAGTCTGTGGCACTGAGCTACACAGGGATGGTACTGAGAGGTGCCTTGCAAAGCCACATTTTGGGTCATTTCCACTGCAGATTAGGTTTCAACTCACGTTTTTTGTTGTTTTGTTTTTGTTTTCCTGTTTTCCAACCCAGCAGACTCCTGGCTTTGCTGGGAAGGCCAAGGCAGCTCACTGCCTCCCCGGGACATGCCGGGAAGCACTGCAGGAGGCCGGCAGCAAGATTCCGGCTCCGTGCATCCACACGGGAACGTGGCCAGCCCTCGAATCTGCCAAGGTGTGCCGGGAGGAGGCCATCTGCTCCACAGATATTTCGATGCCTTCAATTTAGGCTGGGAAGAGCCAGGTTCTCCTGCAGAAATCTGCCACTGCCACCCCATTTTGGGGTATTCCCCAAGTCTTTCCTCTCCTCCTCCTCCTCACCTGACTTCATGCAGCTTCATGTTCCTGAAGCACCAGGTGGGCAACAGAGCCTGACTCTCTCAAAGATGCCCTGACCATCACAACAGAGACAGAAGCCTGAACTTTTTTTTGTGAACAAACTGCTAATTTTGACCTTATGTGGCAGGGTTTTGGTTCAAAAAAACCCTGAGCCTGAGAAGCCCCCCGACTGCAACCTTTTAACCCAAAGCAGGCCTGGTGATCAAAGTTTGATGCTATTTTCCTCTTGCTTCACCCCTTTGAAATCAGTTCCTTAACAGAGGAAAGCAGGAGGAAAAGGGGAATAATCACTGCATTCAACCTGCCAGTGCCAGCAGAAATCAGTGGTGCCTTCAGCACTGTCCATCCTCCTCCTCCTCCCCTTGAAGCCCAGGAGATGCATCTGTACACATTGAAAACTACAGTCTTGTTAAAGAAGTATGTGAGAATGAGAATGTAAGAAAATAAATAAGTAGCTAAATGCAATAGTAGGAATACTGCTCCCACTCAACTAGTAAAACTTCATACCAAAATACTAAGATCTTCCTGGAACACTCGATGAATGAGGAAAAGCAGCACACGTTTTTAATACTGAAGTGCAGATTATTGCTGCTCTTAGAAAATTCCCAGAGAAAAAGCTCTTGGTTTTAATAGAAGGAAAGAATAAAAAGTAATCCTGAAAAAGAGAATAGTTAAGTCAGAGCATAAGCTAAGCAGCCCATCAGTTCTGCTGTATAAAGATTTTGACATAAATCTGGCTTAAAACTAGGAGACAGAAACTAAATACTCATAATATGATGTGGCACAATATGAGAAGATTTTTTTCTGAAAAGGGTGAAATAACATGGCAATTTTTACTCTTTTTTTTAAATCTGTAATATTAAATGTGAAACTCTGGAGAGTGTCAGGAGCAGACTATAGGCAGATGCAATAAATGTTGCATGGGGTTGTCTCTTTCATCAGTACATCAGAGAGTTGGACAGAAATAATTCAGGGCTGGGGCTCTATTTGCTTATTCAAATTCAGAGCATATGCAAACTGGAAATCAATTGGAAATAATTAACAAAGGCAAGTTAGATAGTCACAACACAAATTCAGGCAACAAGCTCTCCTTGAGCCCTGGTCCTCACCAAGGCTCTGTGTTAGGGGAACCTTGATGGCCATGGATGAGATACGCTCAGTCACCATGAAGGTATTGCACACTAAAAGCAAAAATACCCAGTCAAGGAGGAGCACAGTCCTACGGGCTGGATAAACTCATCCTCATGGCCTTGTTGTGCCAGGCAGGGAGAAAGTCCCCCCTTGGCTAGGGACAGTGTTGCCGTGCAGAGCAGAGGTACCAGCTTGTCCCACGTGCATGGGCTTGTCACTCCTCTCTGCTTTTATATACGCTGTGGATAGTCTGAGGAGGCATTTGGGCAGCCTCTCCCAGAGAAAAGGGCCTGGGAAAGCAAACCCTGTGGTCCCATCTCCCCATCACACACAGATTTCTGCCTCCCTACCACAGCTCCTGCCTTGGCAGTGCAACTGTGCTCCCTTCCATCCAGGGTAGCTGAGAAATGGGCTATAAAGAGAAACACATGGGAAAACAGGAGGGCAAGCACACAAGATCAAGGAACACTTTTTTTTCTTTTTCTCTCCCTGGTCTGACCTAGTTATTTAGCTAACTGGCAGAGATGCTCACTAATAATGAAGCAGGAAAGCAATCAGTCTGCCAGCAGCAGCTTCACAGAGGATGCTAGCATTTATTTAGCTGTTTGTCTTAAAACTGGGAAACATCAAATACAGGCTTTTTATTATTGTTACTTAATATTTTGCTTTGCAGTCACTATTTCCATCTCAAATAGGCTTCCAGTTTCTCAGTGATTACAGAAGGATGTGATAAGAATTGAATTTGGAGGAACAGAGAAGAAATATTCAGAAACATTCCCTTATGTAACCCAGGCAAGCACACATACCATTTGTGTTTTCACTTTTGCTCCTGCCATATTATATCAATCAGAGATGCTATAGATGAAGAGCGTTTTCATCCCTCCTAACTCACAGTGAAGACTTTCGTGCCCGAAGGATATATCAGATAATGATCAGCTCGTCTGCACTGAGCGGGGTGAGGAGACTTTGTACCTAGTGAAGGTTTTCCTACTGAATAAAGCAAAGTGCAATTCTTCTCTGAAAAATGTGTCTTTTTCACTGCTTCTGTAAACTTTTCAAGCAGCTCCGTCTTTCATGAGGAAATCTGTGCTTTGTCTTGAAGTTAGACAAATAGTACTCAAAATAAGGTATTTTCCCAAGTCAGACCCTAACCTTGTATCAGGAACTGCCTCCGCTTCCCTCCAGAGAGGGCAACTCTTGAAGCTGAGGAAGCTCCAATTCCTGTACTCCTGGAACTGCACAAGAATTGCAGCTTGCTTGAAATATAGGAAAGAACCTAAGCAAGACCCGGGTTTCTAACCCTCATCTTGCATAGAAAGGGAAATGTGACCCTGGAAATGTGGACCTGCTGATGCAGAAGGATAAGTTGATTAAAAGATAAACAGATCACACAAAAAAATCCCTCACATGTTTCTAGTGGAGAGGCCTTAATGGAGATAACTTAGGATATCTCTGATCAACTAATACACAGCAAACCTCTTTCAAAGACAAAGGATTGTGGAGAAGTGGGACTAAGGGGGCCTGGGGGCATGAGGAACACACTTCCCACCTCCTTTCCTGCTCCACTTGCACAGATTTCATTTTCTGATGGCTCGCCTATATTTAGCATTTTCCAAACACTTAAAAAAAAACATGGAACAAAAGAATTGAAAAACCAATTTTTCATTGACCTGGGTTTTCATTTGACCTGGAATACAAGGACATCTAGATATTCAGGCTTGTCCTTCTACAAGCACGAGACATGTCTTTCCAGCAATCCTTGGCACTGGGCTAGTTAGCACAGCACTGGGCTAATTTTACTGACACTTGGAGAAAGAGGTGACAAAGCAGGCAGATACTAAATTACAGAGATTTAAATGATTTTTGTTTAAACTGATGACACTGACCTTTAATGACAAGTGTCTGCAGATGTGTCACACTTCATTGTATGTTAAACAAGTGTTAGAAAACAGCAAGATTTTGACTGATAAGGTCAATAATACCCTAGCCATCTTTTTGGTTATTTTACATTAATATTTTAATACTACCATACTCTTAAAATATGAATTGTATGCAATAACTTTATTAGGGTCAAATAGATATCACAATATAGATTCATCCACCAAGTAGCCATAAATTGGTTACAACAATCATAGAAGAGACTATGCCGTTTTAAGCTAAGATGCTTTCAACATTACAGCTCATACAATAAGATTATATACTGATACACTTTTATTTAGAAATGCAGATGATCAGTTTTGATTAGTTTATTGTGCTTCAGGCTTTAAATTGTGTTTTAAAATACAGCGCTGCAATGCAGCCCCTAAGTTGTTGCAAGGGAGGGCTCAAATCTCCAGGGATAAATCTTCATGGGATACAAGGCTGGCCCTGGCTCAGCTGTTTTAGGATAAATTCCTTTGAACCTGGGCTATTTGGTCAATCTGGTTACATTCTCTGACAGCACCAAGTTAGCACTCAGGGCAGCAGTGGGACAGAGGGATATCTCATAAATCTTAAGCAGCATGGTTAGAAAGATTTTCTCTTTTTTCCTCCTCCTTCTATTAAAGGAGGTTATAAAGGAATATTTTGACTTTATAAAATAACAATACATGCATTTTTTCCTGTTTTTCGTATTAAGCAATGGGGTGTTTTCACATAGTTTTCTGTACTGATATCTGCACCTCTGTTATCTTAGTTAAATAAATACCTTTGTAAACATATAACACAGTTACTTGGTCCTTATTCTTCACAGCTCACATTAAAAGATTCACAAAACATCCATAGAAATAGTGATTTATAGCATGAATACTTAGCTTAGTTAAATGGAATAAACATCAGTCAAGTACCATATATACTACTGAATGCCATTTCAAGGAAAAACATTTTAGTTACAAAGCATTCAGAACTCGGGTAAGCCATATGTTCAACTCTGCAAAATATATAAAAGATGCATACTTCTTTTAAACATACATTTAACAAAATGCAGCGGCAGAAGTTGAGAATTTCCATTTACACCGTCCAGACATTTGGTAGTATGAAACTGCTTATCCATGCACTAAGCTACGGATGACTCGGTTATTTGAAATAATAGCAAAATCTTCTGAAAAAAAAGATATAATCAAAACAAATGCTCTGAAGAGTCACACACAGGCAGTTTTGAAAATTTAGGAGCAATGTTACATGCATGGATATACAGAATAATCTGTAGAAATAATAGTAAAACACTTTTTTTTTTCTCCACCAAAATGCAGAAGGAAATCCAATTATCCTATGCATATTAAATACTACAGACTTGAGGCTACAAAATGCTTCTACCATCGTTACATATACAAAACTACCATAAGGTTATCTCTACGGTACATACTGCAACACAGGTCACCACCTGTGACGAGCACGTCTGCCGCACCGGGCTAGGCAGGGACGAGGTGCCACCTCCGGCTCACCAGCCACCTCTGGAGGCACCTCGAGATCTTCGGCTGACATGAAACATCACGTTGTAGTATTGATTTAGACCCCCCGAAAAAACCTGGCACCGTTGAAAGAGACCTGCGAAACTCTCTACACGTGAGGGCTGTGCTAGATTTGGTTAGCGAAGGAGGTCGGGCCGCTCTGGCCGTAGCCCTGCTGCTGGCCATACTCACCCACCTGGCCGTAGGTGCTGGGCTGGTTGTAGCCACCCGTGGGCCCGTAGCTGTCCTGGTTGTAGCCACCCTGGCTGTAGCTGCTGGACTGCTTCTCCATGGTGTCCGCAGGGTGACGCTGGCCCGACGAATGCCAACCCGTCTCCTTAAAGACGAACCAAATGTTGCCTGCCCAGAGGATAAAGTTCAAGAATCCAAAGACCTGCATGAGATAAAAGGCAGTGTGTCACCCAACCACTGCAATGCCACAGCCTGACTGAACCTGCTGGGTCCTGCGGGCACTGGGGACACTCCTGCTGTGTGGGGCTGCTGGAGGAGACTCCACAAAGCCATCTCATGTAGACACTTCACTTGGCAGATGCACCTATGTCCTGTGCTAGCTGGCTGAGCTTGAGTTGTCACCACCCAAGGAAGGACATAGTGACTCCAGAGGCCACCTGCAGAGCCCTGGTAGCTGTGCTCAGTCGGGTCCTGGAGGTGAAAAACCTCCTCAGTTGACCACAGAAGATGATGGCTGAAGTTGGACAAGACAAGATCACAACCATCATGATCCACAAACACATCTCTCGGCCCAGGGAGACAGCAAGGTGAAGTCTGCTGGCATCTCAAAGGAGAAAAATGCTCAATAGAGAAAAGTCACCCAAGTTTCATTTCCTGGGCATAGAACCACATACTTCTCCATCAATATGTAGCAAAAAAAACCCCAGGCAACATTTCAAAATTAGGTGACTGGACACCCAAAGGGATATCAGATTGCCAAGGAATCAAGGGGTACAGGCTGCTGAATAAACATTTCTTTTTATTGTCTTTTCCTTCTTTAAGGGGAAGGATGTTCCTGCCTTTTTCCCCCCCCAAAATCTAAAGAAATTTTGCAAAAATAAAACTAAAAGAAATTATTTTAAAAGAGTTAAACAGATTGCTCAGCTGGCCAGAAGTATTTTTTTTTTAAGTCATTGCTTTTTTTGTTTGTTTTGAAGAGGTTTTTTTTTTGTTGTTCTTTTTGAGGATTTTTAAAGAGAACACAGAATCCTTTTCCAAAGCTCTGCAGTATAAATTAGAAGTAAACAGGCCAAATATTGCACTTGAAAAGACAATTGGATTTCTCCTAATCCCAAACCACCCGCTCACCCTACTGCTGCGCCTGGCTAGACAGTTGCTCTAGGTCAGGCTCTGCTTTTCCCTGCACGCAGATTACAGGTAATCCTAATTAAAACATCAGCTAGTTGGTTTCCACCAGCTGGTTAGGTCAACAGAGAGGTTCAAAGAGATGAAGACACATTTGCAAGGGAACAATGGAAAGCAGTGATCAAATTCACTTACAACCGAAGTGTTCAGGCTCGACATAACCGGGCTGCGGACAGGCAAGCATTTGTTGGACTGCTGTTTGCAGGCTGACATCAGTAATAGCACTTCATCGGGATCCGTCGCAATTTTCACATCCGACAGTCCCTTGGCCCAAGCAGATGAGCCCACGAGCCACAAGAAGGAGAAGACCACGGTCACAATGAAATCCTGGAAGACAAATGAGTTAGCAGCGTTATACAGCTGGGTCAGCTGGGAAGAAAAACATTAAAGAAATCACCAGAAAGTAAAAATTTTGCTTCTAAGGGGAGGAAAAACAAGAGCTCCTGATTTTCCAACAGATTTTGCTTACAATCACAACCCGCAATGATAGCTTGCAGAAGGGCTTGACATACCCAAGGGGCCAGAGCCCTGCGGTGCCCATTTGGACCTCCGACCCTGGGAGCAGACGGTACTGAGGGCTGAGCTACCTTGAAACTGGGTGGTCCACAGCGTCTGCTACTGCACCAGCAGCCATTTCTGACGTTGTTTAGGTGCCTGGGAAGGCGACGAGCCCTCCTGAAGGCCGACACTCCTACCCGCAGCCAGCATGGAAAGCATTTCCACGAGCAGCGTCACTGGCAGAGCCCAAAACTGGCTAATCCCAGCCACCAGAGGAGAACTTTTCTCACAAAGGTCAAACATCCCTGGAGCACAAACTGCACCACCAATTATTAGGAGTAAACAAAAACAGAGAGACTTGCCAAGCCCTCTTGGCAAGAGAAGAGCTGACTCTCCCGCTCTTCTCTGTCCCCCATAACTCATTTCTAGCTCCCATCCTTGTGAAACCCAGGGAGAATGTGTGTCACTGCCTCGAGGATCTAACAACTGTGAGTATCTTTACTCTGAACCACTCTGCTCACTTTTCCCTTGGAAGACTGTCAGGAGCGCGCACATGCAGAAACTTCTCGTCGCGGCCAGAACGAGTGGCCAAATGACACCGTTGTTGTGTGGGCTTGGGGGGAAAGGAGGGAGGAAGTGTGATTTTTCAAGCTTTCTTGTGTCTTGCTAAAACAGAAGAGCCTTTCTACTGTCGTATTTCATCCCATCTGTCAGCCCACAGCAGATGGTCGAGGTGCCAAAGTCTAACATGCCACTAACTGCATCACTGTGTCTTGATATCCCATCTCCCATGGAGGCTCCTCTTGCTCGCCCTTTCCCCCTACAAAGTAGAGGTGCACGTAAAAGGAAAACGTTTGTGAAGATGATGGCACATTGGGTTGCCAGCCAAAGAAATAAGTTACTTTAGGGAAACCCAATTCTCATCTACAAATGCACCCTATGTTTCCCTTGATGGAAGATACAAGTCAACAAGCCGGCCTCATTGCGATGGGCAGACAAAGGATTTCTCTGCTCATGCAGATGGGATTAAATTATCTGCGCTTGGACGCTATCCCAAAGGATGACTCATTCATTTTGAACAGTGTCACTGCTTATTTCCTGCAGGCTTGTGTCTGCCGTGGGGCCTCAATTTACCTTGCCCTCACTTTGCACTATCTACATGGGCTCCCTCAAAGAGCATGCAGCGAAGTGCAGGAACTGATCTCTCTCCTAACACCTAAAGGGACCTGGTTACGACAGAGGCGTATAGCCCAGAGTACATTTTCTTTTCAGGGAGATTACCAGCAAAAGAAATTATCATATGCGGAAGTTTCAGCAGTAACTGAATGAGAAATGAGCTCCTAGAGGCAATGGTTTAATAGCAAATATTTTCCTAGAAATTTCAGCTGGTAGAAATGTCAGATACTCTCTAGGCCAAGAATTATGATGATACATGCTTATTTACTAACAGGCTTGGGACCTGAACACCGAGCCTGTTTATAGGTTTCCACTGACACTGCGAGATTGGGACACACCAGAGGTTTGGGGAACACCTCGTGAAAGAGATCATCAAGACTTCCTCAATGGAGCTCGAGTGCAATGCTTTGCAAGCTAAATTAACCTGGGGAGTCAATGCCTCTGAGAGCAACAGCAAGATAAACAAATGACAGCAGAAAGGAATTTGAGGACAACAAATTGAGCAAAATTAATACAATACAGAACATTAATCTTTCTGAAAAAGGAAAAGCTTAAAAGTTAGCCAAGTTCATCAAGCAGGTGACAACAACAGGGGATTTTCAAACCCAATTCCAACCTCCTAACCCATCCAGCAATAGATTAAATCTTGTCTTTCCTCCAGCAACATTTGTTAGCAGAGTTACCGGCATCTCAGGATAGCAGGCACTGACCCCAGTGCTGCAACTGGAAGAATTTGTGTTGTAGTTCAAAAGTTGCTCATGTTGTCATAAGCCACGTTGGAGCGAACACACACCCTTCTGCTTTAGGCTGGTGAAGGCAAATCTCTGATGTCACAAATTCACTTGAAACAAGTCTAGAACAGGTAGAGAAGGTACCCTAGGATCTCAGTATCTGAGTGCAAATGAAGAAACCCTACCTGATTTTAACACGCTTGGTAATGTAGTTCCAATCTATCTTGGTGAAGAACTTGCCTATTTATCAGCTATGATTTTGGGATAAAAATCCATCTGGGTATAGGGAAGAGTTCACCCAAGGGGAAATATCAGACAAGGGGACTTGGACATAGAAACCATCTACCCTCTCCAAAAGCCAGATGACACAAACACTCCCCAAAAGGGGTTACAGGGGCAAGAGTTTGTCAAAAAGATTTAACCAAAAGCCTAATGAAACATGAGGATTATTTCAGCACATACTTTCATCAAGGTTACCAGCCTGTATTCAGGCTCTTTGAGGACTTCTTTCTCCAGAAAGAAATGGCACTATGCACAGAACAAAATCTACGACTGGAACAAACTTGCATCTTCGCCTCTATTTTGAATCTTTGCTAACCTTCAAGCTTTGGCTGGAACTTGAACCTCTCTTGTTTTCAAGTGGGTTTGGATTTCTGGCTGAACATTTTCACAGCTCTGGGTGGAACAGAGTTACAAGATAATGACATGCTGAAAATAAAAGTGAATTTCAAGCTAAGCTGTTCTGTGGCTTAATGTCTATCTGGGGAATTTCTCCTTGGTAATTAAAGCCAGAGTGGCTGCATACTAAAACAAATCTTGCATTTGCATGTTTAATATCCCCATAGTATGTTTTTTTTTTTCTCCTCCTTTGGAACAAAGTAATTTTTGTAGTTGCTGTCTTGAAGTGATGTCTACAGATCCCTTCAGTGTGTATTGTTGTATGGTTACACTGCCCTCCTAATTGCAAAGCTCCTTGTTCAGATCTCAGTGAGATACTTTGGTCCACTTACAGGTACCTTTGGGAAGGAGGCAAAACAGCAACATGTAAGAGAAAGCAGAAATCAAGATTGAAAACATACTGTATAACTAAGGAAAGACTTTGAGCTTGGTGAAGTATGCACAGCAAAAAAAATTCTTACTGCTTTTCTCAAGCTGAAACTGGGTATTACTGGGTCTGCCAAAAACATCTAATTGGAAGAATTTCATATATTACAAGTCTGAGGATGGAACTGTGAATGCTCATTTTCCTCTAATGAGTGCAACATTTCTCTTTGCTATCAAACCACTAGCTTTTGCATTCGTATCTTTGCTGGGACAGTTAAGTGCAGCCCCTTCAGCCTCCCAAGGGCAGTTTCGGGTGTTCCACTGCCCAACAGCACCCAGTCCAGCCCAAAGGGCCTGGAAGCAGCACGCTCTTTGTCTCAACTCAGCCCCAACCCATGGTACCACATATGTCTTCAGTGCTCCAGGTTTTACCTGAGCACAAAAAACATGTCAAAACACACACAAAAAGCTTCTACAACCTTGATCATCCTGCCATGCTCCCTGCTTGCTTTCCTGCCTAACAGGAGCAACTGGTCTGTTATCCTGCTTCTAGTACCTCTCCAAAAACATTTCTAGCCATTAATGTTTATGCAAAGATCCCCTGCACCTCTCACAAGGCCAGTGGGTTGCTGTCCCAGGGACTGAGCAGGGAAGCAGGTACCTGGGTGCTTCACCATCCTCGTGTTTTGAGCAAGGTTCCACCCTGCATTTTCTGCAGGATGAAGTTTTGAAAGAATTGCACACTTTTAGTTATGGCTTATGGCCTTGCAAGCTTGTTTCTGGCAGGGTTGTGTCGAACCTGCTGGGAGGTACCAGAATGTACAGCAAGGTCACCACAGCTTCAAAAGGAGAGGACACAGGTGGGTTGAAATAGCTCTCAAATGCAAACGGTTCTTCAGGTTACCCAAAGTGTGTTTTCTAACTGAAGATTCAGCATTTGCTTTATGGGTTTAGACAGCTCTTTATCCATTTCCTCTGTATTTGTGGGAATCTTTCATGCTATTTTCTGGGAATCTTTTGTACTATTTTCTAGACCAGAGGGGAGAAAATAAGATATGTATAATCCAAGATGCCACCAAGAAGAGAACAAGTGTTGGCTTTAGTTGATTTGGTACACAGCATACATAAAGTACCTTGTACCTTTACTGTAATGCTTTAATGTAATTATTCATGGGACTCCAGATGCAAAGGGGAAACCTCATCTCCTTACATGCTAGCATGTTTATGCAGGGTAATCAGATTATCAAGTAACCACTACAAAAATGAAATACCTTGCAGAGCTATGTCAGGCACTTTTACTGGCTAAATCTTTTAATGCAATATTAAATCATACGCATAAAGCTATTTTTAATTAAACAATCTTTGTTAATTTGCACTTATCTATTAATTAACTGGAATATTTATAAAGTGATTCTTTCTTACACATAAATGTATGTGCTTTTTCATAGTCAATCTACAGCCTTCCAAAGACAATTTGCTGCCAGAGGGTGTGGAGTTCACATATAGAAATGGCAAAGCCAGCAGTATTCCAAGTAACAGGTAATGATACATATTGACCGTGAATATTCTCTTCCATATCTCTCAAATGCAGAGACAAATGGTAACATATTTCCTGTTGAGGGAAAAGCCCTCTAATTTAAGCAGAGAGCAAAGGCTGGCTGCTCCCTGATTCCATGCACCTGAAAATAGATCTGAACTAAGGAGACACAGATGAGTTTGGGGGTCTCAAGTGCTAACTCCCCCCCTGCAAATGGCATGCAGCTTCAGTAAGACATTGCTCACTGAATAACACATGCCAGTGCTGCCAAAACAGCTGCAAAAGACTCAACAGCTTCTCTTACTGTAAATATTTCCTTGCATTATGCCTTATTCAACACTGAACCTTAAAATTCTGTTCCATAGTAAAAATGGTTAGCTAAGATTAACGTAAACAAATCTGTTTCTTTACAATTGTAAAAATAGTGTAAGCTTGAGTCATTTTTGGTTGAAATTTTCTCTGCAAGCTTCTTGTGACCAACTGCTCTTTAAACTCTTGATAATCATATAATCTGCACTCAGTCAGGTCTGTTGGACAAAATTAAATCTAAAAGCAAAACAAAAAAATCAAAAATCCTTAAAGGGTTTCTTCCCTCTCGCCTTGAAAAAGCAGAGCTGGCCGGAGGGGCTGCCCTCCTGGCAGGCTTAAACCCAGCACAATGGCAGGGGACAGACACACATCTCTATATTCCCCCCAAAAAACGTAATTTAGCCTTGGCATCAAGATTGGCAAATTGCAAACAGCTTTAGTAACAGACACCCATTAAATTTAACCTGTAGATTCAATTACAGTCCATTACACAGAACAAATTAAATTAATGCCCTGTTGATGTTGCAATGGATTGCAGCGTGCATCCTATAACAAACAGGACTGAGGAAGTATGATCAGGAGAGGGCTGGCTATCACCAGGAGAGTTTCAAACATCCACATCATAATCTAACATATTAATATTATTTTTCCCTCTTTTTTTCTCTCCTCACTATTATTACCCAGAATAATATGGCTGGTCGGAGAAAGAATTATTTTCCATAAGAAAATTAAAATGGCAGATCTCTGCAACTAATCCCTTGATGAGGCCATCTGAAAAGAGTTATTACTTGATGCCAACTGAATCATGCAGAAAGAAGGCACTTCGTTTATTTATTGCTTCTGCAGAGACCTCTATCTTGCTTCTCCTACCACCCCTTTTTCCCCTCATCTCTTCTCAGGGAAAGAAGACTCCCAGTATTCCCAAACACTGAAGTTTTATTTCCTTTAAAATGAAAGTTTTTTACTTCTATATCAATTTATCATTTTTGAATGATCACATCTCCTTGCAGTTGGAAATTCTTTCCTTCAAAGACCTGGTGATACTAAAAATTACCTTTTTCTCTTTTTCGTTCACTTACTGCTACTGCAGTCATTTCTTTTAACAAATACATACGCTTCTGCACTGATGATGCATCTTCCCCTGTAGTAAGCTTTTCTGCTATTACTTATTGTTTTTCAGCTATTTACAGAACAGGTCTCTAATGTAACCTTATCTTCTTTTGCCATAGATGGAGAGCGCAATACAAGAGCTTCAAGCCTGCATGTTTGGAGACCTAACTGAGCTCAAGTGCATCTGGGGTTCAACAAGATGCCCTTATCTAGCTAGGCCAAGGGCTGTGTTATAGTTTATGATGCTCTAATGGTTAGTGGAAACAGCACAAGTAACTGACAGATTTTATAGTCTTGCTTTATAAGAAAATGACAAGAATTGCTTTTTGTCATGAACTTTTAGGAACCAAGAACAGCAAAGGAAAGGCACAAGCAGGCTCAGGTCTACACGTCTTTGTAAATGCAAGGTGAGGAAGCTTATGGACCAGTGTGGAGATGAGAATGTGCAGGAGCTCAGGATAAGTCCACAAGGGCTGCCATGCAATACTCCATGGCCACCTTTCCAAACCACGGAAGCTTGGTTAACCCCATTGTTAATGAGCAACATGTAGCCTTCCTTGGATCAGAGGCAACATTTTGCTCACCCACCAGGCAAACACCTCCCCATTTCCTGCCCGCTGCCCAACCACCCTTGCAGGAACGCGGTGATGATGGGTTTATGGTCAACTCAATATTGAAGGTCTTTTCCAACCATAATGATTCTATGATTTTATGAACAGTACCCCATGGCAGAAGCCACAGGCAAACAAGGAGTTAAACCCAATTGGCAGGGACACATCGGCTCTATTACTATTGATGCTGGATGCTTAAGTTCCCATTAAGCACAGAAATAGCTCACTTACAATTAGAGGCCCCCGGTTGTTCTCGCGGTACTTGTTCTGGAAGAAGATATAGACGACAGTGGCAGCCAGTGAGTAGAGGAAGGCGAAGACTGCGATGGTGACGAAGAACTCTGCCGAGGAGGAGAAGTCTCCGATCAAGGAGAGCTTTTCTCGGCGCCTGCCTTCACAGGTGGGAACATCGAAATTCACCTCGTGCAACCTGGAAAACATCCCAAAGAGAAGCTGAAGCAGAGCAGCAGGAAACTGTTCCCTGAATAGACGGAGTTACATCTGGCCCATGGTTCCTTCTCATTCCTGAAGTGCATCGGTCTCCTGCACAAAAACAGGTCCTATAAGTAGTGCCTTGAGCTGTGCCCTTCAGAGCTGCTCACACAAATGAGGTTACTCTTCTGAAGGTTGAGAGCTGAGAGACTAACTGCATCTTTTAAGCACTCCTCTAACCTATCTCAGAGAGAAGCTGATGTGCCAGCGTTTGGCACAAATCCCTTCATCTCTGGGGTTTTGCCATGGCAAAAGTTGAAAACAAAATATGATCCAATTCTCAAATTCTTATAATCAAGAACCTAGCAAACAGGTTGTATCCTTAAAGCCATGGAAAGTCCATGTTTTGAAGTTCAAAATTTTGACTTTTGTGTAAACTCTGAACTCTGTGGCTCTGCTCGGCAGCTCCTGCTAGATCCTTTTTCACTTTAGTAATTGCAAGTTCTGTTTTGGAAATAAAGAGGAGTTCCCTCCTGGGCTCTGTCAGCTGCTCCTGTTGCATGGTCCAGGTGAGTTTGGTGGCAGGCGGGTGCTGCCGGGGAACACATTGCTCTGCTCTGTGCAGAGAGAGTGAAAAGGACAAAACCATCAGAAAGTTAACAGTAGCAATTAAAAAAAAAAAAAAAAATGTTCTGGTGCCAAGAAAGGCCAAGGCTGCCTGTGAGACTTTCCTATGCTTGAGGATAATTAATGTGTGGAACAGCAAGTCAATGGAGGCAGCAGTCGTGAATATGAGTAAATAAAAAAGTTAGGGCCCTAGAGAAAAACAAAGTACCCGCAGAAGAAAGTGCACAAGATGGATTAACGGGCACTGGAAAATTGCTTGACTTTCTGCTTTTCCTGATCCATACTAAAAGTATGGATCCATACTAAAAGTGTGTAGGCAGAGCCTTTTCATCAGTGGCTGATGCATAACATGAGCTACTAGCCTTGAGCACCTCCTTCTCTTGAGTTTCTGCTGCTATAGCACCAGTGAGATTAAAGCAGGGAATGTGTCTGCCTAGATTGCAATGTTTGTGCATGAGCAGCACCTGACTGCACTCTCCTACAATCACAGCAAAGTGATGAAAACCGAACACACGAGAGACTCTAATGCTTCTGAACACAATTAGACTGTTTCCTGAGTTGCTTTCAAAAGCTTCCTGGCATCAGTATGTAAACACTTTTCATTACTGTTCTTATGGTCCTTTCCAAAAGGGAGAAGCAAAAAGAAAGGATTTCTTAGTGCCTGGCCTTACAGTTCTGCCCTGTGGGGAGAAAGCAGCTAGTTGCAGCCACGTATCACACACATAGTCAGAAAACTGTTTCTTAACTGAAGCCACTTTCCTTTTCTATCCTTTATTCTCCTGACTGCATCTTAGTTCTGCATCCTGAACAGGTCAAAGTATTCACACATTATATTAACATCTAACTCGTGCATCCTCCCAGCAGTGCTTTTCTGGCCGAGCATCTTTCAGGGATACTGGATACATCATGATCACACAAGCCTCCTCCTATTACCTTATTTTTATTCACTAGCTTTTCCTCTTAGGCTTCTCTAGCCTCTGTGAGGACCTGCAGAAACTGGTGCCTCTCCTGGCCACCTCACCTCTGCCCAAGCAGTGACAATCTCAGTCATGCAAAGGGCTGGTTCAAGTGATGACTTGGTGCGAAGCACTCAAAAAGTTTCTTTAAAGTAGGATAGGATCAGCGAAGGAAAGTCCGGCTTTATTAATCAAAGCCAATCTTCTTTGATCTGTAATGGCACTGCAGAGAAACCTCTGATTCTCCCACAGATCTGCTGCTGACTCAGGCTTCTGGGGGCAGGATTGCTTGGGGATGACTCACAAAAACCTCCTTGCCTTCAACTCTGCCTCTCTTTTGATGTAATCCTACCTACCTTGCATCTTATTTCCTCTCACCTCTTCTTTCATCTTCTCTTATCTGACATTCTCTACCCCCCACCTTTTTCTTCAGATCATCCTGGACCAACATCTTCCTTTTGCTGCTTTTCTGCCTCTGAATTTAATCTTTGCTTTTCCATTTCCTAAATAAAATCATGAGCTCTGAGAGCAACTCCTTGCAATCCTGCCCTTGGCACTTAGTTAACATATGAGCAACACTGTTGGGCTGCACTGCCAGAAGTGATTTTCACTGATTGATGGACAACACAAATAGGATGACTTCAGTAATAAATTTAACCAATCGGGGGAAAAAAAAGCATCATTAAAAGCCTCCCACCAAGAACACCAAAATGCTCCTCAAGAAGTGAAGTGTGGCAGTGCTTTTTGCCTTGTGCAAAGCTAAGCACTATTATTAACTCCTAAATAAAACCAATGACTCAACAGGACCTTGCCCACCACCTCCACACAGCAGTGTCACAGCCACCCTCACGAGCGACTTGGTGCCATCACTTCAATAAGAGCAGCAGCCACTGCCGGACTTTCCAGCTCTGAATTCCCTCAAATCGATACAAATCTGATAACACTGATGAAGTCACAGCAATTAAAGACTGGTGAGGTTTCTTCTACTGCTTGGCAAGCTCTCCACGGCTGTGGGAAACACAGTGATGAGACAGCTGTGTTGTCTGGCTTGACAAGAGCAAAAGAGGGCAGGAATGTTTCCAAGGAAAAGAAAGATTCTTGCATTGTTCTGCAATTGCAAAGAACAGCTTCGTTTTCAGACACTAATTGTCCGCACATTGAAAACAGCCTGACACGCTCAGAGGCTGCAGCTGCGCTGGGGAGCAGAAGCTATAGGCTGTTCATGTAAACATGACCTTGCCTGCATCTCCCACAGTTCCTTACTGCAACGTTGAAAATACAATTTGCTTTTAATTATGGCCTCTCTGCTTTGGACAGGTTCAGCTGCCACAATGACCCAGGGAGCATAGAAAGAGTCAAACACCATTTTGTCCCACATCGTGTTGCCACCAGCCCATGCAGAACCAGAGCACGAGGAGGAGAGCACATGCACAGTGATTCCTCCACATCCCACCACACCAGCCATCAGCGCTCATGGATTTATGGACTCACAAACACTGTTGAAGAACCACCATGAAACTGTCCCCTATTAATTCATCTAATCTCTTTTGATTCAGGAAATCCCCTCCAGCTACACACACACAAGGCCATGTTTAGCCTTGAAACCAAAAGACCATAGGGTTAACATATACAGATATATATGTGCATAGGTATCACCGATGAACTGACTCAGGTTTCTTCTTTGGTGCTTTCATTAGTGCCAGGCTTAATAAAATACGAATTTGGCCTCAAATTTCTGAATGAGGGGGGTTAGTATTTCTCCACTTGCTTAGTAGGATGTGGTGAACAAACAGGCAAGAAAAAAAAAACCCTATTTTGGCAGGCTGTCCTATTTTCCAAAAATAGCATCTTGCAATCTACCCCCTGCACCTGTCTCTGGCATCCTCAAGCACTATACACAACACCCACACACGTGCTTGCGAGAACTCAAAGACCCATTACCTGCTCACTCAGGCTTTATTTTCCCCTCATTTATTCCCGGTACTCAACACTGTCAATTGTATTTACCATCTGCAAAGCAAGCAGAGAAAGGCAGTACCGCAGATTCATTGCTGCAGGTAGTGCCCATGGAAGAATTTTTTGCGAAATGTTTATCTTGGCTGGTAATCTTCAAAATGAGGGATAAACGGGATTTTCATAGACGGGAGCAAAATGCTGAAAGGAGCAGAAATAGGGGCCCCTAAGCTAGCCAAACCACACGGGTGGGACAGGAGGACATGGCAGCTTTCCTGCCTGTGTCTGGGGTTCTGGCACCTGTGTTTTTGGCACTTATAAGCATCTTCCAGGAATTCCCTTGGGATCTGAACAGTTGCACCCAAGTATGAGGGAGTACTTTTTTTAGGAGAGGAAACTACCGTTTTCTTTTCTCCCTGTCCCTTTCCTTTCCCTAGTGCCTTCAGCACCTTTTTCTGCTCCCAAGACAGCAGAATGAACCTTGGCACACCAGCCTCTACCACACATCTATTGCTGCTAAATCAGCCCATTTCTCTCTGGCAACAGGGAAAAAAAAAAAAAAAAGAAAAAAAAAAGATAAAGTGCTCCAGCTGACCCAGCAATCCAAGTCTGATCTTCTTTTTCCTCCTCTCCAGAGAAAGAATATTGTTTGCTGATCAAAGGGGCACTAGTTTGCTGATCAAAGAGTGTTTGGTTTGAAATTTCTTAGTGAAATCTCCCAGTTTCTTCCACAAAGACATCACAGACCTTTCTAGAACTACTCAGCATTACACACCTCAAACCTAAGAACACACCTGAACTTGCAAACTTTTATTCCTAATTTCTGCACAGGTCATTTGAGCATCCTGGAGATGTGGCCTGTCTCAGAGCTTCCTGCCATGGTTTGTGCAGGGATGTGCCTTGCTCAGATGCAAAGCAAAATCCAATTTGGAGCGAGCTCAGAGCAGGCACCACAAGGAAACATGAGGGCACTAGCCAGAAAAGTCATAGCAACCCATATTCTCTCTTACATACCTCTGATAAAAAACATATATATATTTTCCCCTCTCATGTTTTTCCATTTAACTTGTCAGGTTCCCAGCACTCACTCGCACATAGCGCTTGTGCAAACATTTGGCCAGTACTATTTTGCTACAGTAGGGTTTTTAATAGGACAAGCTGTCAGCCACAGTTGCTGTCTCAAGCCCCCACGCTGCGTGCGGCGCTGGGAGAGGTGGCAACTCCCCCGTGACGAGACACCCTCCATCCCGTCTCCATGCCCCCAATCCTCCTCTTGCATCTCCTCTCCCATTAGCTGGAGATCCTCCAAGGCATTCAGGCCTGCAGGAAGCAAAGCACTAAAGCCTTTTTGAGGAAGGAAATTCCATGAGATAAGGGAGAGCTGCAGCGCAGTAGAGCCATTGCCCAGTGGTGAGGATGGGACAGCAGTAGTGCTGTACCTGCAGCTTGCAGCCTTCTCCCT